GCCTCACATGCAATCTTCATCTCATCTCCTTCTGCAAGTCGACAACCTATTCCAAGCTCGCCGAGGTCGAGGAGCGTCCTGGAAGAACACGGCTAACGTGGACAAACGCGCCTCCATCACCGTCGCCGCTGCGCAGCCGCTTGACAATTCGCTTGGAGGGACGTGCGTGCGTGCGTGCGTGCGTGCGTGCGCACGGCGTTCCCCGTGGCAACACTGGAGGAAAATGACAAGCGCCGAAGGAGGTCAATTCGCACACGCAATTGACCACGGCCGGCAGCCGTCCGCATCCCGGATTGTCGGTGGACGATCTCGTCGGGGCCGAGCGGCTCCCGCTCCTAAAAATAGCAGCGGCTATTTTTCAGCAACACGGCTCACTGGCGTCACCTTCACCTTTCTCCTCCAAACGCCAGCACAAAACGCCGCCCGCCGCAGCTGCCCGCGTCATCGCAAGCCGCGCGCGCATCATTTGGCCGCGGGCTCGTGTCGCCCTGTCGCATCGGCGGCTGCGCAAGAAGCCGAGCGAACGCGGGCGCCGCCTCATTCCTCACTCATCGCTCCCCCGCTCTCGTGACCCCGCGACCCGCCGAGTCGCGACCCACTTTTGCACAAGTCGGGAACGAGAAAGAACGTTTCCCGTATTGTTCCCCGATCGCCTCAGAAAACCGCGTGGCGCGTTTTGCAGCCGCGTGCCGCGAATGCCTTTCGGAGCACTTCCATGTCGCCGCTTTCAGGAAACTCCTTTTCTGTTTTTTCTGTGCCGTTGAACGGTCTGCGGCTGGATGGATGTGTCAGGCTCGTGGAGCCGACGATGAGAAGAAAGGAGCGTTAGCGCTGATGCGGATGTGGAACTGGGAGTCGCGGCTTGGAATTGAAGCGGATTTACGTGGGACAGGACATGTGAGCCCATCTCTTTTTCGTGTTTGCTTTCAAAACTTGGCTTGTAGCCGACGCGTGCACATTGTCAGCATGACGTCTCTGACCCGCTGGCGAAAGGACACTTTGATCCTCTCCTCTTTCATCTCCAACTGCTTCAGACAACAAAGTGGATGCAGGAAAGTGGTGAAGATTGCACGACTGTCTTGTTGTGTTGTGTTGTGTTGTGTTCTTTTTGTGATTTTGACTTCAAAATGGCGCCGCGTGAGTGGCTGCCTTTCCAGCAGCTCCTAGATTTTGTTCTTCTACTTCTTCCTTTCGTAACTTTGCTGCTGTGAAATGGGAATTTCTCCATTGCGAGACCAATAAAGCTTTTCTTTTCTTATCTTTGTCGTCTTCTTCTCAAATATGAAATATGAGCAACTCATGCCGGGGCCCCTCCAGCCCCGCGGGAGCAGCGCGGATGGACCGAAGCCGTGCGTTCGCTCACCCGTCCGTTAGCCCAAGCGCATTATCCTCGGGCACCGGGCGGGGGACGGTTTCGACCGGTTGCCGGCCGATCGCAAACAAGCGTCGGCCCCCACAATCGCACCCGGCAACGGCGTTCCTGCCGCGCGTGTTTTTGGAACGTGGGAGGAAATCGCAGCACTCGGAGAAAAGCTGCGCGGGCACGGGGAGAACACGCAGACTCCGCACAGGAAGGCGGGGGCCGGATGGGAAGCCCGCACCTGTGCGCGGTGAGGCCAGGCGGCCGCCCGCCTGACCTCACGGGGGCACCAAAGCGATTCTTGACGATGTCTTTCATGATGTCGTCACCGTCCTATTTTCAAGATTGTGCCATGCTCCTTTCCCAAAAACACATTCTGAAAATTTGGGGGGTTGTTGGGGGAGGGGCTCGTAAGGATGAGTGGCACTTCCATTCATTTCAATCTGGAATCTCAGATGATTTGGCGCAGGAGTGTTTTGAGTTCGGCGCGGTCACGCGGCCAACCCGACTCGTATCTGGAGGCATCGCGTTGGCCACGTCCCCCGTTTTGAAGAGTCGCGCAAGATGGATGAGTGTGCCCACATCCGGCGGGGCCGAAAGGGTTTCAGCATCATCAGTGTCATTGTTCCCCCCCCC